TCTCTGTTTCTGTCTCTGTCTCTCTCTGTCTCTGTGTGTCTCTCTCTCCACCTCTTTCATTCTTTCTTTCCACCTCTCTCCCTTTCTCTCTCTCTCTGTGTCTCACTCTCTCTCTCTCCACCTCTTTCATTCTTTCTTTCCACCTCTCTCCCTTTCTCTCTCTCTCTCTGTCTCTCTCTCTCTCCCCACCTCTTTAATTCTTTCTTTCCACCTCTCTCCCTTTCTCTCTCTCTCTCTCTGTCTCTCTCCACTTCTTTAATTCTTTCTTTCCACCTCTCTCCCTTTCTCTCTCTCTCTCTCTTAGACAAATAGATATTTTTAGCAAACAAATATCATTGGACAAATAAATATCATTATCAGTATCTGTTTCTACCCCTTCTGTTTTTATTTTTAGCAGCCTCGTTTAATGTTAAAAAGCAAATGTGCGTGTTTTTAAATAAAAACGTGTGTGTGATAAATTGCTCATGCCTTGCAGCTCTCAAACAACTGATGTTTATTCCGTGTGGCTCTTCTGCTGAGACAGTTTGGCCACCCCCTGCTCTGTGGTAAATTTGGCTTCTACCATAGAGTTTTTGCTCAAATACCAGAGTGTTGCCCTGACGTCCCCAGCATGATGATGTCACTTCCGGGTCATGTTGGAAGTGATGTAGGTGCGTTGCTGGAATGTCGGATGGGCCTCCCTCTTCTTCGGGGTAACTTCCCCTTTGTGGCCATCGTGTGCCGTCTCTTTTCTAGACAGAAAAGTCCCCAAGTCCTCAGCCTTTCCTCATGGGCTCCAACCCCCTCATCATCTTGGTCGGCCTTCTTCGTTTTTGTTTTCTCTTCCTGCTCTCAGTCTCCCAGGTTGAATCCAGTCCTCCGGATCGGCCTGTTGCTCATCCCAGTGGCAAAGGGGACCCCAGTCTTGTGCGGGGTGTATGCGCGGAGATTTGGAAACTCCATGATCTATTTATAACCCAGCTTTCTCCCTGAGACCCAAGGCCGGTTACGAAATATTTTTAAAAATATATCCAACCAGGCAGCTGAGCTAACGCAATAGGGCTAAGAGTCCAACGTTGGAAGCAGAGTCCGTAAAAACACTCCCAAAGGCAAGATAGACGGAAAGGGGATCGTAGAGGCAGAAAAGCCAGCGGCTCTGGCGTGCATTTCTTGCAGCAATGGGCTTCTGCTGATGGAATTTGAAGAGAAGAAGAAGAAGAGAAGAAGAGATTTGGTTTATACCCCGCCCTTCACTACCCAAGGGAGTCTCAGAGCGGCTTCCAAACTCCTTTCTGTAGTGTATTCAAAGCTGCCCTGAATGCATGATATGTTGTGAAACATCTAATTGAAGTGCAATGTAAAGCTTCGTCTTGGGCTAGGATCCAAATCCTCCAATCGTGTTACTAGCCCAGGAAGCACCTAACCAATCACTTTACAGGAAGCTCCCTGAACGGGAACATCCGTGATTGGTCCTTATGTGAAGAACCTCATTGGTTGGTATTTGTAGAGTGGGTGTGGCTACATTAGCCGGGAACGTTTGAAAGCAGGACAGCTGCAATGTAAAGGCCGTTCTGGCTATCAGATGTTGATCCGTGTTGGAGTTGTGTTCGAGTTGAAGAATAAAGTTGTGTTCTTGCTGAATCACTCTCCGACTGCTTTGTTAAGCGAGCGACTTAACACTTTCCCTTCCCCTCCCAACAGACACCCTGTGAGGTCGGTGGGGCTGAGAGAGCTCTTGACAGAAACTGCTCTTTTTCAAGGACATCTCTTATCAGAACTAAGGTCATCCAGCCAGGTGCAAGTGGAGGAGTGGGGAATCAAACCCGGTTCTCCCAGATTAGAGTCCGCGCACTTCACCACAACACCAAACAGGTCCCCATATGGGGTGTGGGGGGCCAGCCAGCCGGATCCAAGGGATAGATGGGTAAAGGTGTAAGTCAGGGGTCCCCATGCCCTTTTCCTGAGCCTGCGGGGCACCTTTGGAATTCTGGGACAGCGTGGTGGGCAGAGCCTCAAAATGGCTGTCGCCAGAGGCGGAGCCAGACACACCCACTTAGAGGAAGTGCCAAGTGCAAGGAAGAAGAGGGCCCCTTTAAATAATACACATGAATAAAGGAGCCAGTGGCCGCCTAAAAACAACCCTGTGGGCAGTGTTCCCTCTAAGCTGAGTGAGTGTGAGCCAGCTTGCCGTTTTTTAGCCTCTGGCTCACCCATTTTCGTCTCAGCTCTGGAAGGACAGCCCCAGAGCAAACTACTTTATGCAGTAGTAGAAGAAGAGGAGATTGGATCTATACCTCGCCCTTCCTTCGGAGTCTCAGAGCGGCTTACAAACTGCTATCCCTCCCCCTCCCCACAACAGGCACCCTGTGAGGTAGGCGGGACTGAGAGAGCTCTGACAGAAACTGATCTTTTTCAAGAACAGCTCTGACAGAGCTACGGCTTGCCCAAAGTCATCCAGCAGCAGCGAGTGCAGGAGTGGGGAATCAAACCCGGTTCTCCCAGATTAGAGTCTACGCACTTCACCACGACTCCAAACTGGCCAAATCGCTCGCTCACAACTTTAATGCCAGTTGCTCGCAAAGTAGAATCATTGTTCACAAGACTCCACAGCTTAGAGGGAACGTTGCCTGTGGGGGCAGCGGAGGCTAAAAAAAAGCTGTGAACTGGCTCACACTCACTCAGCTTAGAGGGAGCACTGGGCAGAAGCCCCACCCACTTTCTAAAAACTCTTGGTGGGCACGAGGAAAGAGGTCGGTGGGTCCCACTGCGCCCACGGGCACCGTGTCGGGGACCCTTGGATGAAAAAATCCCGCGCACTTGGAATGAACGTGAGCGGCTTCCGCCGTGCCTTCTTCTTCCCCCGGCTTCTCGTACTCTCAGCTCAAAACTATTCAGTCCTCCCCTGCCAGGGCAAGACTTGCCCTCTTGCCTGATTTATAATATTTCTCCACATTCCGTTCGACTGGCTTTTGCCAAAACAGGCTCGGAGTGACTTTTCACCAGCCGCCCGCTGAAGCCAACTTGTTCCCTCTGATCAGGGACGTCCCTCTCTCAGCAGGACGGCCCAGAGAAAGCTGTAGAAGGGCAGCTCTGTTGACCGAACAGCTACTCTCCCGTCCAGTTTGGTGTAGTGGTTAGAGGCGTCGATTCTAATCTGGGTTAAGTGTGCGGACTCTTACCTGGGAGAACCGGGTTTGATTCCCCACTCCTCCACTTGCAGCTGCTGGATGACCTTGGGCAAGTCGTAGTTCTGACAAGAGCTGTACTTGAAAAAGAGCCGTTTCTGTCAGAGCTCTCTCAGCCCCACCTCCCTCACAGGAGGTCTGTTGTGGGAAGGGAAAGGAGTTTGTAAGCCACTCTGAGATTCCTTTGGGTAGTGAAGGGTATAAATCCAATCTCCTTCTTCTTCTGGGAGAACCGGGTTTGATTCCCCACTCCTTCACATGCAGCTGCTGGTGTGACCTTGGGTCAGTCACAAGGTCTCTCAGAGCTGTTCTCTCAAGGGCAGTCCTCAAAAGAGCTCTCTCAGACCCACCTACCTCACAGGGGGTCTGTTGTGGGAAGGGGGAGGGAAAGGAGTTTGTAAGCCGCTCTGAAACTCCAAGTGAAGGGCAGGGTATAAATCCAATCTCCTCCTCCTCCTCCACATGCTGGGGTGACCTTGGGTCAGTCACAAGTTCTCTCAGAGCTGTTCTCTCAAGGGCAGTGCTCAAGAGAGAGCTCTCTCAGCCCCCACCAACCTCACAAGGGTGTCTGTTGTGGGGAGGGGAAGGGGAAGGAGTTTGTAAGCCGCTCTGAGACTCCTTCGGGTAGTGAAGGGCGTGGTATAAATCCAATCTCCTCCTCCTCCTCCTCTCTCTGAGATGAAGTGTAGTGGTTAGGAGTGCTAAACGGAAATTTTCGGAAAAATTGAAAAAAATGCTACATTAGCATTTCTTTTGTCTTTTCTAGATTGAAAGTCATTCTGTTACTTTAGGAACATAAAATATGACTATGGACATTTTTATTTGGCATGAAATTATCACAACTAGCATATTAAAAATATAGTGTATCCAAACAATTATTACAAACAGAATACCCACCCACATGCAAAAACAAAACTAAAACCTTTTTCTTTTCTTGTGACAATAGCACCTCCTAAAGGAAGAAATGCATCTTGTTCTTGCATTGGAGAGTTCAGTTTGTAACCTAGGACTTGCTTGTCCTCAGTGCACAGAAATTAGATCAATCTGATATCATATATATATATATTAGAAATGATTTGGGAAATATTTGAACACCTTGTCTTAAAATATTTTATTCATCATGTTAAAATAAAATGTTCCATAGACAATTTATTTTATTTTATTTTTTCAATTTTTCCAATTTTTCGGAAAAAAAACAAAAAAGGCTTCAGGAAAAAAACGGAAAAAAACTGTTTCCCCCCCCAATTTTTCCGGTTTTTTTCCGGGCCTTCACATCTCTACCTCCCAGGGTAAGCCGCTCTGAGACTCCTTCAAATAGTGAAGGATGGGGAATCCAATATCCTCCTCCTCCTACTTCTTTCCAAGACATGGCCATCAGCCAACTCCTTCACGTTCTGCCAGATTCCTGCTTGCTGTGCGCTGTGGGTCATGCCTTCTATCAGTGAGTAGTAGGCGGAATAAACTGGCTCTCTTAGGCTTGCTGTCCTGAGCCGTTGGGGAGGAGGCGCTTTATAAAATCCCAGAGTTCTCCCCAAAGCTCCGAATGCCACCCAAGGACTGTAGGTTTCCCAGGGGAGACTGTATGATTCAAATTAAGAAGCACACTTGCTGCTGGGAAAGCTAGATCCAAGGCGGCCCTTAGAAATGTTTTATAATGATACCATGTTTTTGCAAGTTCAAATTGCTGCAATTTTGACGTTTTAGTTGCATAACTGCATTTTATTCTGAATGTAATGTTTTAAATCGTAAGTACTCTTTGAATGCAGTTTTGTATTGTAAAGGCCAGTGGCCATATACAATAAAATCTTACATGCATACATGCAAGATAGAGCACGTTGCGTCATTGTTTGGATGCCAAAGGTGAGGAGGCCTTTTAATCCATTGTCTGGAACGTTTTTCGGCTGGCCACTGTTGGCAGAGTTCAGGATAGAACATCCCTGTTTTTCCAGTGGCTTAACCGTTCTCAGCTTGAACCTGCGTGTCGAGAGAACCCCTTCCGCAAATAAATTCCGGATTGTACGTCCCGTTCTGACTTTGAACAGCGTCCAACTGCATTTAGCAAATAAGGGTGTGTGTTTTTTTACTTTCAACGAGCACTTTTAGGAGCTTCAAGAAATCTTAGGCTTTTTAATCCAAGTGCCATGGAGATGTGATCGAAATCAAGATCTGTGACCCACAAAAGAGGCAATTGACCCACAAAAGACCCACTTCCTTTTCGCCTCAAGGTCCCCTCCCGCCTGGTGGGTTTTGCAGTCTAACAAAGCCTTGTTTGCCGGAGGCAGATCAATATTTATACTCCGTGAGCCATTCAAACGCGGGAAGTGGTTCTGCTCCACGTCTTTCCTCGCGTGCCCAGAATGTGTACTCTCCTCGAGTCTAAGTTACCTGCTGCACCTTTCCATTCTCTTCCTTGGTTCTGTGGTCATTTTATTATTATTTTTGGCAGGAGGAGGGAGCGGAGACGGGCAAACTTTTTGTAAGTTGAGAGACCTGAGTCAGATTGAGGTGACGAGAGAGGAGGTCCTAAAACTGATAGACAACTTAAAAACTGATAAATCACCAGGCCCAGATGGCATACATCCAAGAGTTCTGAAAGAACTCAATTGTGAACTTGTGGATCTCCTGACAAAGATATGTAATCTTTCCTTAAAATCTGCCTCCATTCCTGAGGATTGGAAGGTAGCTAATGTCACTCCCATCTTTAAAAAGGGTTCCAGAGGAGATCCGGGAAATTACAGGCCAGTCAGTCTGACGTCGATACCGGGTAAATTGGTGGAAACCATTATTAAGGAAAGAATTAGTAGGCACATAGATGAACAAAACCGATTGAGGCAGACTCAGCATGGGTTCTGTAAGGGAAGATCTTGTCTCACCTCTCCTCCAGGCCTGCAGGCCATGAAGGTCTAAAAACACCTCCTTCCCTCCTTTCTGGTCCTCCGCTTCTCCTAGCCCGGGGCTCCCCAACCTGGGGCCCGTGGGCACCACACACCATTCCTGGAGCTCAACAAGTGCTCTTAGAAAGTGGGAGGCGGGGCCAGGCAGGGCGTTTTGCCCAGCAGGTCTTCTGATTGGCTATGTAGATTAAAAGTCATCCTCCTAAACAGAGCTTCTGCTTGAAATGTCGAAGAGTTACTATTACGGTTATATATAGCTTCACTCCGTAACATTTTGTGGCTGGCCCCACCTCCTGCGGCAGCCTTTCTGTGGCTGGGCCCACCTCCGCTGGCCCCCCCTCCTGCGGCAGACATTTTGTGGCTGGCCCCACCTCCTGCGGCAGACATTTTGTGGCTGGCCCCGCCTCCCCAAGCAGCCGACTGCCCTGGGTCAGGATTCCGGAGGTGCCCGCAGGCTCAACAAAAGGTTGGGGACCCCTTTCCGAGCCCATCAGTGTTGTGGACTGTCCCCCACCCGGATTTCCCCAGACTCATCCTCGTTGTCTTTCTGCTTCCGCCGCAGGCCAGATCGATGTTTCCGAGATCCAGCAGACCTTCCACAGCCTGGGCGTTTACATCTCCCTGCAGCAAGCGGAGAAGATCTTGCACAGGTGAGGCTGGGACCATTCTTGCTCCACCTGTCCCCCCAAATCTGTCAGTTACTTAGAGAGTGAGGTGGCAGACACACACACCTTGTGTGCAGTCTTCCCTCTGAGCTGACTTAGTGTGAGCTAGCTCACAGTTTTTTAGCCTCCGGCTCACACCGTTTTGTCTTAGCTCAGGAAGGAGGGCTCCCGAGCACACTTTTATGCAGCAGCCAAATCGCTCGCTCACAACTTTAATGCCAGTAGCTTACAAAGTAGACTTTTTGCTCTCAAGACCACAGGTTAGAGGGAACATTGCTTGTGTGGCGGTCTTAGTGGGTGGTGGGCAGTGTTCCCTCTAAGCTGAGCTAGTGTGAGCCATCTCACAGTTTTTTAGCCTCTGGCTCACACGTTTTTGTCTTCGCTTAGGACGTTTGGCTCCAGAGCAAACTGTTTTACGCAGCGGCCAGATTGCTCACTGACAACCTTAATGCCAGTAGCTCACAAAGTAGAATTTTTGCTCACAAGACTCCACGGCTTAGAGGGAACATCATGGGTCTAGCGTCGGGAAAGTCAGGCCCAAGACTCCCAGGTTTCTGCCAGGGAATTGGGGCCTGGGGGTTTGGCCTGGAAACAGGTGTTTGGCTTAAAGTTCCCATCCTCCAGGTGGGACCTGGAGATCTCCCAGAATTGCAACTGACCTCCACACGACAGAAGTCAGGTCCCCTTGGAGAAAATGGCCGCTTTGGCGTGTAGGCTGTATTATAGGGTGACAAGAGGCAAGAAAAAACTGTTAAAAAGTGACGCTTAATAATTGTTTTTTAAAGAATCGAAACTGAGCAAAGTTAATATACAAATATGGAAAAATATATATTTGACTGTGATCTCCGGAATGTCTTGCCGTTTCGAAGGTAGATCTTCTTCCGAATGAAGATGTAAGACAAAGACTGTCTCTCAGTGATTCACGTCCTCTGGTGACATTTCACAGATATCAAAGAAGATTCAGTATTCATAATAGCTGTAATGTCTTGTAAAACAAGACGCTACAAGTCGACCCTGCTTAGCTTCCGAGATCTGACGTGATCGGGCTTGCGTGGGCTATCCAGGTCAGGGCAGAACTTCCTGGAGATTTTGATGGTGGAGCCTGGGGGGTTCAGGGTTTGGGGAGGGACCTCAGTGGGGCACAAGGCCACAGAGTCCCCCCTCCAAAGCAGCCATTTCCTCCAGGGGAACTGATCTCTGCAGTCTGGGGATCTGGAATTCCGGGGGATCCCCAGGCCCCACCTGGAGGCTGGCATCCCTGGACCTCAGTGGGGCACAAGGCCACAGAGTCCCCCCTCCAAAGCAGCCATTTCCTCCAGGGGAACTGATCTCTGCAGTCTGGGGATCTGGAATTCCGGGGGATCCCCAGGCCCCACCTGGAGGCTGGCATCCCTGGACCTCAGTGGGGCACAAGGCCACAGAGTCCCCCCTCCAAAGCAGCCATTTCCTCCAGGGGAACTGATCTCTGCAGTCTGGGGATCTGGAATTCCGGGGGATCCCCAGGCCCCACCTGGAGGCTGGCATCCCTGGACCTCAGTGGGGCACAAGGCCACAGAGTCCCCCCTCCAAAGCAGCCATTTCCTCCAGGGGAACTGATCTCTGCAGTCTGGGGATCTGGAATTCCGGGGGATCCCCAGGCCCCACCTGGAGGCTGGCATCCCTGAACCTCCGTGGGGCGCTGTCTCTCAGTGATTCATTTCCTCTGGTGACGTTTCACAAATATCAAAGAAGATTCAGTATTCATAATAGCTGTAATGTCTTGTAAAACAAGACGTTACAAGTCGACCCTGCTTAGCTTCCGAGATCTGACGAGATCGGGCTTGCAAGGGCTATCCAGGTCGGGACAGAAATTCCTGGAGATTTTGATGGTGGAGCCTGGGGGGTTCAGGGTTTGGGGAGGGACCTCAGTGGGGCACAAGGCCGCAGAGTCCCCCCTCCAAAGCAGCCATTTCCTCCAGGGGGACTGATCTCTGCAGTCTGGAGATGAGCTGGAATTCCGGGGGATCCCCAGGTCCCACCTGGAGGCTGGCATCCCTGGACCTCAGTGGGGCACAAGGCCGCAGAGTCCCCCCTCCAAAGCAGCCATTTCCTCCAGGGGGACTGATCTCTGCAGTCTGGAGATGAGCTGGAATTCCGGGGGATCCCCAGGTCCCACCTGGAGGCTGGCATCCCTGAACCTCACTGGGGCGCAAGGCCACAGAGTCCCCCCCCAAAGCAGCCATTTCCTCCAGGGGGACTGATCTCTGCAGTCTGGAGATGAGCTGGAATTCCGGGGGATCCCCAGGCCCCACCTGGAGGCTGGCATCCCTGGACCTCAGTGGGGTGCAATACCACAGAGTCCACCCTCCAAAGCATAGTATAGTCAATTATATTGTTTACCAAGCACATTCATATGAACATATACACGCAAAGGATATAATGGATAAACGTTTTAAATAAACAAAGTCCTTGTGCCAAAGTTCAGTTCTAATTATTTCCGTATCAGTTTCTTCCTGTGTATGTTTAGTCCAAGCGGGGAAACTGTCAAGTCTTCCAATGGGCGAAAAATCCCCGTTTCCGTCCTAGCAGTCACTGAAACATAACAATTAACCAGTCTTTTCAGATTGGTTTGTAGAAGTCTATTGCACAACTTCAATCCATCTCAGGGTAGATTTCTTTGCTGTAGCTTGCAATATCTCTGCCCCCAAAACTTCAGGAATTTCCCAACTGGGAGATGGGCCAACCCTAGAACTCTGGCTTTCTCT